GAAGTGAGTACCCACCACCTCTGGTAATTCAGCAGGAGCTAGGACTGTCCAGCTAACTCAGCAGTTTTAGGGCTGATGTAGAGGAGGTTTATGGAGGAGGCTTGGATGATGAGGGAATTGAGTGGCCAAGGGTAGCCATATATGTCTTATATGTGAGGTCCAACTTCTCTCATCCATCGTCAAATAGATTTCAACATTCATCATCAAGTAGACTTCTAGAAAATTAGAAATCTCCTTTTTGTAGAAAAATTTAGTAACACGTGATAAACTTCTGCATTTGGATAAAAATAAGGGTGTCTTATTCTAAGCAAAATACCTGAAATTTAATGCCCAGATTAGTGAGTGAGCTGGATGAGGAAGGTCAAGTCCTTTCTTTGTAAAATTCTTTGATTGCAAATGGAATTCTTCTGTAAGCTTCAGTCAAAAACCACTTCTTGTGATAGCCTCAAAAAACAACCCGTGTATTGCAGACTTGTCTCTGGATTTGTATATTTCACATACTGTATAATGGAATAACTAACCTATTTTATTTTTATCTTTTTATTTACTTTGCGATTTCTTTATTGTAAAAACCAGCCTGAACTGTGGCCAGTTTTTATAATATAATCATCTATTTTTACATTGTCCAGAGTAGCTTAGGTAGAGCAAAGAATGCCTACAATAAGTTTCATTCAAGTACACCATTTTAATTAATAATTGTGAAGAGATACTATAAATTCAGTATTTTAGCTACAAAAGCAAATACAGTTTTTCATTTTTAAGGAGGTAAGGTACTGTACAAAAAGATTAGACCATTTAAATTGTCATCTTTTTATGAAAAGCAAGGAAAGCAAATTGCAAATATTTAAAATGTCAAACTAATGGAAGTATAAATGATGAACAACTTGTAATGCATGCAAAAAGAAGCCATGGTTTGCTGTGGGACTGTGCAAAAAGAACTGAATAATTCATCAGGATAGAATAAATAAGAATATTTCAGTGCAGCAGTTGCAGGTTTGTTTATTGATCTACCTAGTATAAGTTCTTAAAGTGTTCATTGGATAGCGCAAGCTAGAAAACGGAATATACCTAAAACACTGAAAATGCTTTATTTCTGGTATTGGGACTTCATTGCCCATCAGGGAAGAAAATCCCAAACAAACAAACACAAAAACAGAAAAAAACCCCAGTGCATAACATAATGAAATACAGAAACTGAAGTTTCTGTTAACACCTAAGAGTGGACAATTGCAGAATGCCTATAACTAGAATTTTCTTACAATTATTAAGTGGTAATACTTAGGTATTAGTAAAACTGACCTACTATTATGGCCACTCAAACTTTTCATCATTCTGTCCTTCTTCCCACTCAGAAAAACAGATGAGAGATGGTTTTGTACAAGTGTCTGTAAACTGCAAGGTGTAATCAAGTCTCAAATAATTAGCCAACTAAAATCTACACAGTGAATACCTCCTTGAAACATCATGGTCCACAATCCAAAAATGGCCAACATTAGTAACTAAATTTAATTTTGAGTAACTAGCCTGAAGAAAAGAGCTAATTCCCTTCTAGTTGAGACCTTTTTCTCTGGAAACCACGAGAACCAAGATAGAGTAAGTAAGTCTGGACCACTTGTTGTATAATCACCTCCACAAGACCTTGCTTTTCTTCCCCTTCATCATCACAAATGATTCATCTGATAGCATGGCTCAGATCTTTTGGCCACCCTCGGGGCAGGTCTCCAGAATGGGACTTCAGTCCTCCAGCAGAAGGCTTTCTGAGGAGGCTGTAGAAGAAGCTCTCCAGTCTCATGTGTTGGCTTCATCCTGCTCCTTTCTACATATCCTCTTCATCAACAAAGTTGTACAAAACCAACTCCTCCTAAAAAGTCGTTAACTTTGGAGCTAGATCCCCTTCACAGGAATCACCAGCACCTCTGAAAGTAATGTGTTTTTGTTACATGTGTGAGGTAGACTTAGCAGTCATCCATTGCTATGTCTGTAGCTCAGTAGACGAAGAATTTCCTTGTGCCCATATTACCAGTCCTGGAGAGTTGCATGCTGATCTCTGAGGTTCACCAAGGAATAAAGCTGGGTTCCTATGGTATCAGTACTATGTCAGATTCAAAAATACGAAAAAGAATGTATTTTAAAAAAAAACCACTATTGGGACAATTATGAAAACATTATCTTTACATATATTTCTTATAAAGCCTTGTTAGGAGGTTTAATGGCTGACATAAATCTTAACAGTTATAATTTTAATTGGTTTTTTCCCCCCTGTTTTGGAATAATCATTATTTCCGTCTCTCTTTTTTTAAAGCTTTTAAATGTATTTTACTATTTTCCTTTTTTAAAGTGATTTTGAAAGTGTGGGAAACGGCATGAACTCAGCTTGGGCAGATCCCTATATCCCTATAGGAGCACTGCATCTCAAGAAGTCGTTCTCTCCTTCTCTTACGAGCATCCATTTGTAATCTGCGGGCTCTGGCAGAGGCTGCAGTTGAGGAGGACATCTAAGACCCATTGAGTGCATTAAGGCACTCTGACATGCATTAATGCCTGGTATAGTTCAGTTTAAATAATGTGAGCAGGAGTGACAGAACCTGGGATAGGAGACTTCTGAAAACTGGTCAGTTATCAGAGGAGGTGCTGCTTAGCTCTTTTTCTGAGATCTCACAACTTTAACAGTATTTTGCCTACCTGACTTCAACTGTTGAGATGTGTTTGCCCAGTGATTTATTATAGTCCATTCATTATTATAGTCTGCTTTATTCTGTAGCATCAGTTCCATTAGACATACTACAGTGCATATTACGTGGCTGGTAAAGATGGACACAGCTAAGGTACCATAGGGGCAATTAGGAATTAGTATGCAAGGAGGGATGATGCTGTAATAAGGTTTATCATTATTAGTGCCCCTTTAATGGGCTACTCCTTCTTAGTCAGAGACTGCAGTGCAGGCTATTTTGGACATTTTAAGATGCTCAGGCTTTTAACATCATTGATTTTCTCCATCAGTGATGCTACTGTTGTCATTCTTCATCTAGAAAACATGTACATATGGAAGCAAGATCCAACACACTTCACTCAAACTGTGTCTGCACCTAATTCATGATTTTACTTGACATTGTTACCTGATGCTCAGTTTAAACAGGTCATTTTTTCGCTTAAAAAAAAGCTGAAAGCTTTCTCTTCTGTTTTCCTTTGGAAATGTAGATAATCTGCAAGTAATTTGTGGACATTCACAGAATCTGTGCAAAAGAAAGGAAGGGTAACAAAATTATTTTGTTCTTCAGGAGTTATTTCTGTGCGTTCACACCACTTGCTTATTTCCCCCTCTGGGAGGCCAAGAGACTGTGACAGACCTGAGAGAAGTACCTGAGACCTTCCAGGGAGGCGCATGATTTTGCATGCAGCTGAGCACCATCATACTTCAGTGTCATAACTTCAGGCAGTGCCCAAAGAATGGCAGTGGCTAGAAGAGAACCATCTTTATTTGCTACAGCTTTATAGACTGCTTTGGTTAGTTTGTGGTGGCCTCCTACAAGAAGGCATTATGATTCAAAAGTGTTTGCTATGTCCAACTCACCTGACAGGCTTTTTCTGTAAATTGCAATTTTACAGTATTTTAACACTGATCCCGCAGACCAGATCCTTGCATAAATAAAACCCTTTATTAGAGGGTTTTCTAGTGAATCAGTCTTGTGCTTAGTTCTGAAACCAGCACTTTCTGCAGTCTTTGTATTTTAATGATATGTTCTAGACTTTTGTTTGGAAAGAACATACAGCTTAGATGCTAAATATGCTACTGCTAGCATATTCTAAAGCACAGCTTAAGCCATTGAAAAATCTGTGGTAATTAACTGAATATTTCCTTTCTGCTTGGTTTAAAAAGGTCAGCCCTTCTTTGTGCCAGTTTTCAATTCTTTCCAGCATTATTCTTTAATTTCCTAGATAGTGTGCCAAACACCTGGAAATACAATTTCCAGATCTGCAGCTTTTGGATATCAAGTGTGAGCATACAATAGAGTGATAAGTTAATAAACATAAGCTATTCATATTCTGTAGGGCAGATATTGGCAGGTCATTAGTAAGCTGCAAGTGGCTCTCAATGCATTGTGTGTGCATGAGTACTTTCACAGAAGATTGTAAGCCTTTATAGGTGATTCAGCCTTATGCCCTACAGAAACATATTGCAGGAAGGAAGACTGCTAGAAATTAAAAGTAATTGAGGTTCCAATACATGACAACAATAACAGTTTGGCTTCCCTTTTTGTAAATTGCCAGAAGCAATATTCTTTGCTTGCTTATTCCAACTGAAGGATTTGCAAAGGTAACTAATTTCATCCTCTGATTCACTTCTTAGAAATCTTTTTTTTTTTTTTTCCCCCGTCCGAAAATGTAACCTGAATTCTTCTAATTTGTCATGGTGGCTATTTTAGTGGTTGGTAAAATCATAAGCATTACCAGCAGAATCGTGAGCATTCCTTCTTGTACTGTTTGTAACAGAATCCTGTTTTGAAGCTTGATGTAGTTCTGAAAGAATATTACAGTCTGCTGAAATTATTTTTAAAGTGCTTGGAAATTGCTGATAATATGCATAAATTACTTTCTTTATGTTATATGTATATCTGTGCATGTGTGAGGATGTTTATACACATAATACAAGAAAAAGTGTGCAAGTTACATTCACATTTGTATATATATAGACACACTCAGATGCAGTATTTTTTAACATCTAGTCAAGATTTATCTAATTGACACATATTTGTATATCTGTGCAATCTCTAACATCCTTCCCCTCAACATACATTTGTTATTTTAACAAATCATTATACTTGTGTAAACAAAGACTAAAGACTATACAGTTTTAATTTACCTTCAGATTATGACATATCCAGAGAATTACTTTCTGAATATTGGTCAGGTTTTGGGTTTTTTTTTTGTTTTGGGGGTTTTGGGGGGTTTAATGCCTGCCATGCAATGACAAAGGTTTATTCTCCCTTTGTTCTTTTCAGAGTGCTGCAGCAGCTCCCAGTCCAGTGCTAGGAAACATTCCCCCAGGAGATGGCATGCCAGTAGGTCCTGTACCACCGGGTTTTTTTCAGGTATTCAGAAAAATTATGATTACAGGAATTTTAGGATAGAAAATCCTCCGTAATACTGTTTACAAGTCTGTAGAAAAGGTCCTGTTCTAAACTATGTCTCATTATATAGTACAATACTTGAGAGTTTATTTTTTAACAAAGTGAATAGGTGGAAAGGAATCTCTCTGATTGACAAATATTTCATTTATGAAGTAGTACAGCACAATGTATTTCAAAATTTCAAGGATAAGAAATAGTGCCAGTTTATGAGTGGAGACTGAAAATGCTTGAATATAATTTTAAAATAATTTCTTATGATAAGATACATACATTGCATTGAAACTTTTAATTAAGAACGTTGTTGGTCACGTTTAGCTCTGTGGTAAAGTCACAGGCCAGATTTTTAAGATGTTCAGGTTTCAGTGGGAATTAGACCTAGGCAATTAAGAATATCCCACTGAGCATCTCCTTGCACGTTGAAGATCTCAGCCCTAATGCCTAAAAAAAACAAGCCAAGGATTTAGACTGTGTGTTGCTTCTGTTAAGTTTTATCGTAAATGAAACTAAATACCCAGTTAGCACTTTGGACATTAACAGTACAGAATACTATGATGGAAAAAATGGGAGCTTTTAGTGCAAGGCCAACCTAACAGTTGTAATCCGAGATTGGACTGCTCCTATGAGCAAGCTTGCATCTCCTCTTCACCAAAGCTTGGTTGTTTTTCTCCACACTGGCAGACTACTGTGGCTGTGCAGCAGGAGCAAAAACTAGCAGCATTTCTAGCATTGAAACAGCTCTTTAGGAAGAACAGAGATTTCCACTTCACATACTTGATCTCATGTTGTGAAAGAAACAACCCAGATTTCCAGGATTGTGATGTGGGGAGAACATTGTGATGGGATATTCCCTAAAAACCAAGTGCTGAAATCCAGGTAGAGACCAGTGTCTTTTTCCTTCTTCCCTGAGATACATAGAAAAAAGAAGCATATTTCATCTGGAAAAAAAGAAGAAATGTTTTATTTATTTTTATATCCAAATGATGATTGTACAAAAATGGCAGGATGTCAGCAGTCTTTCTTTACACTGTATGTAAGTGACAACATTATTTGTATGGTCTTCTTTTCCCGTAGTCACAGAGGGAAAAACTGCAATCTGCAGTATGGATACTGACATAAAGAAACCCTGAACCTGGCATGAGCATGATGTTTCCTTTGTCAACTCAAAAACTGAGGCATGATTTTTAATACATGAATGAAAAGATATATTTGCAATTGAAGTAGAAAATACCTTACTGTTGCCAGTCACAAAATCCTCAGGAGTTGGCAGAACCGAATAATTATTTTATTTCTGCCTTTACTGTTTTGAACAGCTGGTTAGGTAGATTTTTTTAAACACAGTTCTATCTTAATTTTTATATTGTATAAATATTTCACTTTTTCTTAGTTTAGCCGCCCACTCCAGTTGGAATGTCAAAGGAATTATTTTCTTTTATTGACTTTGAGGACAATTAAGAGGGGGAAGGGGCACAGATAGGACAAGTATGTGAAGTATAGAGGAGAGAGTAACTATTTTAAAGGTTTTGCAGGAGGAGGGTGTGGGAGTTTTGTTTTTAGAAGCGTGAAAAGACTCCTAGCCACTCTAGATCTTTAAAGATGTAAGAAAGACAAGATGATAGAAAGTTAAGTATGGGTAAACTTTCCTTGTCTGTCAGTATCTGACTTCAGTCTTATGTGAAGCCCCACCAACAGCCTGCTCTTTTTGCAAGGCCTGAGATTGAAAATAAATGAGGAAAATCCATTTTCAGTGTAACATAGTTTGTGACATTAATCAGAGCTATCATCAACTCAACAACACAGCCAATTGAGTCTTCTGCAAGGCAGGTACCAAGAGCTGGTCTGCAAAGGCTGGTCTGGGCTCTTCCAGACATCACCCTTCACCTCTCCTTGAAACTGCTGGGTCTGTGCCATCATGTCTCTCTGTAACATGCAATACTCAAGATTAGTCCCTTACAGTTATAGTTGATAGAGATCTACTTTCCTCAGCTGAATGGCCTTGTCAACAGAACAAACATTTTTCAAAAGATCATTAGTTTTTGCTGTAGTCGTCTGCTTAAAAAAGTACATAAATAACATGCTAGTTAGCAAATCCAACTGCATGTTTGATAGCAGATACATTGATATGGTTGGGAGCAATCCCAGCAAGGGGAGCTAAGCCAAAATCCAGTCAATTACATAACAGTGTGCTGAAACTGTAAGGTGTGTATAAAGCAAATATGGACAGACAGTCCACAACAAGGTGTTGTGGTGTTGGAGTAAGTTTTGTCAAGAAGCCATTAACATCTGGTTGTAATACCTTCAGACGGAGCTGAATCTTAGCAATGTCAATTTATCTGAGGACAAGAAAATATACTGGCAGACATAGCCGTGTATGTGAACCTTGAAAATTCAGGAGCATCATCTAGTGCCATAAAAAGCAGGAGAAATGACAAGCAAGAAACTCATGATCAAAACTTCCTACTTCCTTCATAGGTGCTTTCTTTCTAGTACACCTTTAACTAGACAATCAGTTTTTGTATACTCTTCAGCAATTCCTGTGATCCCAACTGATAATAAATCAAATCACAGAAAACATGTTAATCTGTCTTGATCTGAATACTGACAAACTTCAGTCTTTCTGTGAACTGCCAGTCTTCTTTCACTACAAGTTTGGAATTTAGACCTGCAACTCACTCCTAGATTATGAAAGTGAACAATTTTGGTTTTTAAGATTTGGAAGGTTATAGAAACAGTGGGAGAACAGTGCTTAATATCTATCTTTAGTTCACTAAGGCTTTGCACTACAAAAACATTGTAACATTTCAACTTCTTCAACTGAAAATTTATCTAGAAGGTCATCCTGGAATGATAAGGATGCCTTTTGTTGCTTTCATGAAATCTTTGGATGGCCTAAGCTAAAGCTGAAGACAGCCACTACCTTCCAGCTCTGCTTGGCTAACTCAGAATTGCTGGATGATTTAAAGTCATTTCATTTCTCATCAGTACTGGCTCTTGGTTTTGCACTGCAACTCTATTTCGGCATGCGGCACTAACCACTAACTGGGACATAAGTGAAATGGATGCTCTTGCTGTTGAAATTGCATCTTACCAGACATGTCAGGGGAAGGTGGCAGCCTAGGTGGGGACAGTGCTGGGAACCAAGAAACATTACCTGGGTTCCAGTTTTATTGGCACTGCTGACCACTAGTATTATTTCCGTGACCTTTATTTTTTGTAAAAGAAAATAATTCAGAACACTAGTATAGCACATGGAGGTAAACAAATACGAGAGAAGTATGGTTTCTCAGACAGTATTTGGTAAAGCTCTTTGTAAAATGAGGCTTTCACGTATATGTAGGCCCCTAGCACTGAAGTTAATTAGCAATCTCTGGCATTTTATGCCTGGTCCACAGAGGTGGAGTTCTGAAGCCAGCGGCTGAATTTGTCTTGTATCTCTCAGTACTTGTATTTTTATACTTCAATTCAGGTGATGGATGATGATCACTACGGTGCTGACAGTCCAAAATGCGATGACTTGCAATGATACAGTGAAAGGAAGGTGGTAGAGTTGTGTTGTGCACAACTATTATCATCAACTAAATGACTTTTTTTAAAAAGCCAATTGTTTACAGTGTGAAAAATGAAATCTGAAAAGTCAAGAAAAGAGGTTTATGTGGAGTTAGGATGTGTCTCAATTTCATCTACTGGTGTGTATGTATTTTAACGTAACTTTAAATTTCATAGCTACATATTTTTTTGTCTTCATCTTCTTTCAGTATGTAGAATAGGTGATAGTCTGGAAATAAATTGGGGTTATACAGTAACTAAATCTGTTCGTGGTTCATTAGCAGCTAAACTGAAAGTGTGGGACCACAGGAGGAGCAAAGACAATAGTTATGTCATACAAGACTCTTAAACTCCAAATAGGAGAATGCAATCAAGTTTTAGAGGTGGTTTTGTCTCAGGCTGAAATAACAGGTCAAGTTCAGTCCAGTGAGGGTGATGTCTAGTGGGGCAGTGCTTCTGGTAAGTTGCTTTCTTAAATATGGAGCCTCAGAGAAGGATAATGGTTGGGAACTGGAGTGCAAGCCTGGATGCTAAAAAAAAATATGCGGTTCATCCATAAGTTACCCACGTGTTTCCTGCGTAACCCAAGAGAAGTTGTTTCAATTCTTTCGTCATGTTTCTCCACCTACGAAAGTGGAACATCGTAAGTGACGATCCTTCTAAAAGATTATGAATTACATGGGCAACAGAAGTCATGAAACTATATTAGATTGCATAGGGGTAAGATGGCTGTATACATTCCTGAAATGCTCATCTGACTCCAGTCAGAGTCTTGAAATACATCATCAGTTTGCCAGTTTTCCTCTCTAGACCACATCCTGTACATGGAGCTAAGGTGTGAGGAAGGCACTTAGCTACTACGTTAATAATATAAAGTCATTTAGGACATTTTCTGTGCCATTTTTTAGCATCAGAGTTACTCTTTTGTTAGTTTCTTCATATGGCCGCCCACAGAGATCAAAGTGACCTTGTCTTTGCCCCTCTTTTTGGAGTCCTAACTGATACTGAAATAGTAGGGCAACTGGAGGACTGAATAAGATTCTAATAATTATTTACCTTTCGGTCTAGACATTAGAGGATGCATATCATGTCAGCAGCCAAAGCTTTATGCAAGGTTCTGATAAACTCATTGACAGTGAGTTAAATTCATCCACTTGTGTTCGAAGAGGATTACGTCATAGAATTCAGAGACACTCACATTTTCACATCCAATCTAACTTCCAGTTTCTGGCCTGAGGACAACCAGCGTTTTTCAGCAGGGTTGGTTCTGTGCAGTATGTAAGCGTTACTTGTGAAAGCCCTCTTAGATACAGGCAGAGCAAGGTCTTCAAAGTGTTCAGTACTAGCCTTGCTCCCTTCTTCTTGAGGAAGATGAGGTCAGAAAAAAATTGGGTTTATAGTTGCACTTCATGGTACAG